AAATAAAAAAAAGCTCTTAATCAAAAGGTAAGCGAAAAAAAAACTTCATAGAAGCTCGACGAGAATTTCTCCTTCTTCAACTGTGTCTCCAACTTTTGTACAGACAGTTTTCACCTAAATTAATATGCTCAAAGGTTTATAGACTTTCGAAACGAGCCTTTCCGCTTTTTCCTGCTACGAGACTGTTCTGCATTTTCATGGCTTCCAAAACGATTAGTTCCTGTCCTTCGCTCACGACGTCGCCAACCTGAGTCTCAAAGACTCAACTCGTGGTGGTACCACTCACCTTGACATTGACAACCTTCACCGCACCTGGCATCGGAGAAATAACAGATGAAGAATTGTCAACCTAAAATCGGAAAAAGAAACAAGAATTTGAGTTCCGCTTTACTGTTTTTTTGGGTTTCATAAGCTCGAGATATCCGCTCGAGTGTTGTGGATGAACATCTATAGTGAACAAAGTGCCTTTGAAAGACAACGAAATGGTCGACGTGGTTCGAGAAACATATTGCACAGAGAGCTGAGCGAGTGAAAAATAAAAGGTAAAACGAAGAAAAATCAAACAGAGAGCCCGTCGACGTTCAAGTCCAGAACTAATTTGGAAGTTGTCAAATCTCCTGTTATTATCGTACTTTTCCCATTCACGAACATCTGCAGGAAATTCGTAAAGTTAGATTATCAATCAAACATGAAAACTTCCTGAGAGTTGCGATTTTCAGATATTCCGTGAAAGACAACTTCTTTACTTTCCGATTTCGTTCCGAGTTCGTGAAAAGTGGCAGTGTATCTGAAAAAAAGGAAGTTCAGAGCTAGCATATACACAGCATGATTGCCCAAAGGAAAAAAAAAAATTTAAAGGCAGAAGAAAGATAGAAGGATAACGGGACCCGTGCAACAATGCTATACAGGCAAGGATAAAAGACGCATAAAAGTGTCTATTTAATTAAAATACCTCATACAAATTCTTGAAACCCCAAATACAATACAAAATACAATATTAGCAGGACCAAGCGATTTCAAAAATGATTTAAACATATGTTTTATACTATTCGAAAGTGTAGTAGAACGATATATTGGATCTATGAAAAATCGGATCAAAAATTTGAACTTGGGGATTTTATTTTTATTTACACATTTCAGCGATAAGATTCGCTCAAAATGATCATTTCTCTAATGACGATTTTCAGAGTCCGAAAAGATTTTGAATTTTCAACCGTTTCTATCCTTATGTGAAGGTTTTGTTTAGTTTAAAAATATAATAGCTTTAAAATATTTTTTCATTCTCAGAAAACGTCTCTATATCTGAACGTAACCTGACTTCCGAACGCCTCGACGGTTCGATAGTTCGATTTCGATTGATTTTCCGCGCATGAAGCGCTGAAGCTACCAATAAAAGTGCTGATCGTTCTTGTGAGGTCAAAGCACAGCCTTTGAATCCTTCGGGGTAGACTTTGGGAAGGTAACTAGAACATTTTAATTTCTATGAATTTTTCCCCTTCATAGGAGTCAAACTCAGTTGCGATATCGCCTTTGCGGAATGAGGATTCTCGTGTGATGTCGCGCAACAAGGGAATGTTGTGCGCAACGCCGCGAATCACGTAGTTGTCCAAGGCGGTCGTCATCGCTTCCAGGGCTTCTGTTCGGCTTTTTCCATACGTCACCAGCTGAAACCAATCGGAAATTGTTTTTTTTTTTCTTAAGAGCTTTCGAAAATTTGGCAGCAATATATAACTTAGCTGAGAGTATATATTTGAGCCAAAAACGATTATATAAGATAAAAATCAGAGAAATTTCGAACAGCAACTTTTTTCGATTTTTTCATATGGTTAGGGAACTTTCCGACTGCAAAGTTTCTTATTAATCCTTTTCCGACTTTTTTTTTTGATGAACTTTTCTTTTTGAATAGTCTTATATAAAATACGT